CATATTTCAAAAAGGTACATTTCACGAAGTGATGGCTTAATTTATGAAATGCCTGTCCTTGTAATAGGCAACCGCAAGGGGACATAATGGTGAGTCTGATTGGTCCACAGGGTTACTGCTCGATCTGTCTTTGATGATAGGATGGCATGTTTTTACTGTTGTCTTGTTAACACATTGATGTCATCGTGTATGTCAGCAGACAGCCGATGTACAGTAGATTGTCATCTTGCTATAGAGATACAAGTCAATGTTTCCGCAGTTTAGAAAACATCAAACATCTAAGGTCACATCGAAAAAGTAACAAATTCTTTTGATGTGCAGAGCATAAAGGAGGAATTTACCATGATCACAGAGTGCAAATTTCAACCTCTATGATTCTTACAAATGTCCTCCACCCACATCTGGACGTAGCTACTGATTTCCCTGTGGTCCATCACAGGGGAAGAAGTAGAGCTGGTTGTTCACACATGACCTCTGACCTGCCATTGGGGAGCCAATGGGGGAGCAGCCTGTGTCTTGGGAGCTCTTGCCCTCTGATGTGATGGCTCCAGGCAGTGGGCTTTGCGTGAACCCATCCCCCATGGCACCCCTTGCCACTAGATCCTCTGCATTATTCATACAGCCTCGGATGGGGTGGGGAGAGAAACAGAATATGGAAAAGGAAGCACCAAGGTTCAAGACCTTCTCAGATCACAAGGAACTTCTGCTTAACCTCCCTTGAAGTGGCGAACACAGGGATAGAGCAGTTTTTTTAAGGAACTGGATCTGAAAGCAGGACTGGAGATCAATGGGGATTCCCTCGAGGCTTGGTGAAGATCGCATTCACTGCAAGGTGATTGGTGAATCAATGTGGTTCCCATGGTTCACTTTGCCATTGTGAGAACTGATCCTCCCTATTGTAAGTGATACTGTCTTATGATCAGTTGACTTGCTCTTATGTTAATGTTGAACCAGTGTAGTGTCATCCTACACAGACTGTACATAACACATAAATTGTGCACGGAAATGTAACTAGAGAAGCTATATGACACAACCTCTCTGTGGGTCAGAGATCTCCCATTTGATCTACTGTATATAGGAAAAGGACAATACGATTTAATATTTTCTTTTTTTTTCACGTGTGCCTAGCATGGCATCTCTCTCTATTGCTTTCCAAAGACACTCAGTCAGTGAGTATGATAGGTGATGATTAGTGAAAAGCATATACATGTTAAACTGTTAATCCCTAATGCACACCATGCAACCTAACAACACTGCACGCCCCGGCTCTTAATACAGCCCAGCACATAACCTTCTAATTGCATAATTGCCTGATTTGTTTTAACTGACAGTGGTGCCCTGGCCCATGACAAGGCCATCATTTGCTCATCCTCATTGTCAGCAATTTGCAAGGTGGATACCCCACCACACACCCACTATACCACATCCAGCAGCACAGTATTAGAGACAACCATGAATTAAGAATGCATTGCAGAGGCAGAGAGATGAATAAATACAGCCGTTGCTAGGTTAATTCTGAGAGACATGGAGGAAGGCAGATAAAATAAACTAACAGCAGCAGGCTGTCCACCAGATAAAGTGGGTACTCCATCGTCTCTCTGCTGTAATTATTGGCTAATAGTCATTAACCTGGCAAACAGAGGTTTAGCTGTATTGTTTAAAGGACTCTGGGATGCATAATGACAGACTAATATGTCATAGCACTGGGGGAGATGGGGGAGGGGTGGATTAATGAGATTTTACTGGAGGGAGTGCACAAGAAGAGGTGGGGCACGCCTGGAAAATATAGGGGAAAGAGGGCCACATTAAGCTAATTGGAAGATGAGTGCCTACTTGTAAAAGTGCTTCTAATGGCATATTTGTTTCTCTCACAGCATCACAAGGCTAATGCAGGGGAGTGGAGTTGTGAGACTTACTGTAGTAAGGGGCATGTGTTTGTCTGAAAATGTGTCAGCTCATACCTTAGATACTCATTCTAATACAATACATACACATTTTTTCTCATCTTTGGTTGTTTATTCATTTTGGGGCTTATATGAATTAAACATATTTGTATGGAGTTTAACATTGCTACTAAAAAATGATATATTGCAAAATATAGTTGTTATGTTTGCAGTACAGCCATGTATTCAAAGGCTTCTTGGAATAAATAGCAGTAGTAGTTCCACATGGACTGAACCTTAATCAAGTTTGTCCCCTCACATCCTTTTCTGGACCGATTTGATCCATTTTTGAATTTGTGTTGACTCTGTGCTACAAGCACAACCCCAGACCAAAACGCTTGTTGACTAGCCTCCAAAACTCAATTGACCAGTGAACGAGGAGTGCTTGGATAGCCTCCTCTCAGACAGGGTCCAGTGAATAGCAGAAGTGCTGACCTGTTCTGACAACTGGCTGGCCCTTCCTAACACTAATGGGTTGCAGTTTGGCCTGTGTCATTGTGTTTTGGCTTTTGTTCGACTTCATGAGTAGGGAAGTGGAGGCACAGGGTAGGACTAGTACAGGGTAAAATAAATGTCTAAACGATGTTTGATTCAGTCAAGATGTTGACTTCGGTCAAGCAATCATGTTGATATATATATATAACCTTGCAAAGCTTGTGTAGTTTTATTTAATGATATTACTTATAGCTCAAGACTTATTCCTAGAGTGTTATTAATGGAACCCTCTTTAAAATTAACTCCTTTTTTGAAGCTTGTGGTTCCTATGAATGTTATTTCAATCTAAATTTGACAAGCAAACATCAAAGTGGGGCAGTTAGGAAATGTGTTTCTTAAACTGGCTTAAATTGAATTAAATGTGACCTACTAATGATCCCAAAAATGCCGGTACTCTGTCCTGCTATTTACTGCTTTTGAAACAGAGACGCTTAATTAGAATAATACACTTTTGCATTTAGAATTTTTCATACTTCTAATTAGACTTATGACTGTAAAAACGACATCTTTTTTGTCACTAGAAAATATTAAAAAGACTGATTCACTTCTTAGAACTACAGTTTCTAAAGAAATGTGTTTGTGGAACTATTTAAAGATTCACTTTCTAATTTGCTTTCATTTTTTTGTTTCAATTAAATCAAATGGAAGTACTAATGCCCAGATGGCCATGCAGTATGAAATAATAGTGCCCAGGCTAGAATTTAAAGTCATACCTCCAGGCAAAAACTCCAGAGCACACACAGAATGAAAGTGTAAAATGTTTTTTAATGTATATTTAACAACAAATACCCCAGTGACTATTGATGTTTCGTCTCAGAAGAATCTATTTCTCCAGTATATCTGAGGGCATGATATGAAACCACTCACACTTTTATTTTCTCTGTTTTTCTGCTCTTCTTCCTCTGTGTCTCTCCCGTACTATCTCTCTTTCACTGTCTCTCTTTAAACATTTATCTTCTGTTTTCTCCTTACAGGCCCTTTGTGCTTTGTGATGTTGGTTTTTACAGCTTTTACTCACCAGAGATGCCATTTATCTTTTATAGATGCCAGCAGCTAGGAGCACATATGAAATGTTACCATTTCACTGTGACTAATTGTCATCCCTTGCGTTACTCCCTTGATGTCACTTGCATCTGGTCCCCCTGGAATCTGTGTGTAAAATGAAGTATTTACACTATGTCTCTATCTCTTTCCTCTATTTCTTACTTGTTCACCCAAACACTCATACCACACCATCTTATATAACAACAGCAGTGGCAGCAGTTACTGTCCAAGGATCATTTTGTTAAGAGTTTGGTCATAAGTGCTATGAAGCAGGGAGGAATACGGGTTCATACAAGAGGACAAGAGCACTGGGTCAATCATTTATTGCCTCAAACTCAGTGGCTCAACCACAAAGTAAATTCTCAGGCTTTGCCAAGATTATTTTCCCAGAATCCCTTGCCATATCCTGATGTTTGATAATGTTCACTTTTGCACAGAGACTACGCTTTTTATTTTTCAGCCGTTAATAGCACATCTCTGAAAGACACTTGCCAAGTAGAGTGTTCAATTTGGAATAATGTCAAAGTCCCATCAGAGTAGCTCTGGTCTCTTAGAATGAATACCTGTTTCTCATCATTTCCAAGCCTAAAAAAATACAGGAACTGGCCATGGGCTATTATAAATAATCTATTGTTAATATTTGTTATTTTACATTTATGTACCTTCAAATAGGTAGCCACAGTCAACTGAAAATGCATCCTTGGTTGACCGTCTCGCGTCTCGTAAATGACATGGTCACTTATTATATTTAAAGTGAAACAGATGGTAAAATCTTTTAAATTTGATTAATATTTAAGGTAACACAGGTTATGTGTCCTAACATAAAAGCATGATGACTATACAGCCTACCAAATGAAAGGAACACATGCTCAATGCCACTGTTAAGGCACTCAAATACATCCTTAAATAGAAATTTGTTTTTCTCATTCAATGTCTAAAGCCATTCCCTGATACATATTCTAGCAGTCCCATGTTCCCCCGAGCATTTCACTGCCTACACACAGAGAAAAATGCCTACCAACCAAGGTTTTCTGCCTCACACCATTTTGTAAATATCCCTAGGTAGGTATAGTTTGTGTACGGAGGGAGTCCCAGCAAGAGTTCACATCTTTTACAAAGCTTTTTTTGTCAGTCTCACAGATCCCTATCCCTACAGTGTTGGAAGTCGCAGAGACCTACTAATCGCCCCACCTCAGTGCTTTCGATTTGTTTGCTTGAGACTGAATTAAACTCTTGCCTACTCTCTCAGTGTGTGATTAATGATCACAATCGCAGGGCTGATTTATTGAAATAAAAATAAACAAGTGAAAAGTGGATGGCAAAGAGGGATAGTGGAAGAGGGTGGGGGAGGCTTCGACAAAGCTCTGTCAGTTACTTGTTGGTCCAGGAGCCTCTGAATTTCATGAGCAGAAAAATCTGCCCTTTCAAACTCTATCTTCTGCTTTGACCAGACTGATTATGCACAATCAATAATGGTATGTATTTTGTCTTCTCTCTTGTCTCTTCTGGGGCATCTAGGATGCTGCAGGCAAGGTGCTGGACCGCTGGACCATCATGTCCCGAGAAGAGGAGATCATCACCCTGCAGCAGTTCCTGCGCTTTGGTGAGACTAAGTCCATTGTAGAGCTGATGGCCATTCAGGAGAAGGAAGGTCAGGCAGTTACAGTTCCCTCCTCCAAGACAGACTCCGGGATTAGGACATTCATTGAAAGCAACAACCGAACCCGCAGCCCCGGGCTTCTGACACACCTGGAAAACAGTAGCCCATCAAGCATTCACCATTTCGAGAATATCCCCAACAGCTTAGCTTTCCTCCTGCCCTTCCAGTACATCAACCCAGTCTCTGCCCCCATGCTCGGATTGCCCCCCAATGGCCTGCCTATGGAGCAGTCTGCTCTCCGGCTCCGGGAGCCCACACTGCCAAACCAAGGTGAACAGGTGGAGACCAGTGAGTCAGAAGTGTCCCTGTCACCGTTCCGTACAGGCCAGAGCCCTAGCCGTGGAGCCCTGGGAGCCATGAACAACAACATTGAACCCAAGACAGAGCCCAACAACAGAGCATCACCCATCTCACCAACCCCCTCTACCCAGCAGGCTCAACAACAGCAGCAACAGCAGTCACAGCTCCAGCAGCAACAGCAACAGGGCCAACAGCAGTCCCAGAATCAGCCTCAGCAAACCAACAGCTTGAGTGACCACCAGGTCCACCACCACTTTGTAAAAGACGAGCATGCTAAAACCATCACCCATGCTTCCTTTTCCTCCAAAATGCACCGCATGCGCCGCATGGGATCGACCTCACGCAAGGGTCGTGTGTGCTGCAACTCTTGTGGCAAAACCTTTTATGACAAAGGCACACTTAAGATACATTATAATGCTGTACACCTGAAGATTAAACACCGTTGCACCATTGAGGGCTGCAATATGGTCTTCAGCTCACTACGCAGCCGCAACCGCCACAGTGCCAATCCCAATCCACGGTTGCACATGCCCATGCTGCGCAATAACCGCGACAAGGACCTCATTCGTGCCAATTCAACCCCTGGTACACCTGTCATCTCAAGCACCAAGAATGGTGGCTTCACACTCACCAGCCCTGGAAGGCCACCACTGGGCTTCACTACTCCACCAGTAGACCCTATACTTCAGTCACCCCTGCAAAGCCCACTGGTGTTCCCCACCCTGAAGTCAGTGCAGCCAGTCCAGCCAGTGCCCCCATTCTACCGTACACTACTGTCCCCTGCTGACCTTGTCAGTCCTCCAGTGTCACTGCCCACCAGCCCCATCCTGCCCACCACCACCAACAGTACCACCCTGATGGACCAACAACAGCAGATCCTGGCTGCTGCAGCGGCAGCTTCACACAACAATGTTCATATGTCAGAGGCCGGACCCATGTCCCACCGCTTACATACACATAATGCCAATCACGACCACACCACTGGCATCATAGACCCCACGCCCAAAAAGAAGCCTCGTAAATCTAGCATGCCAGTGAAGATTGAGAAGGAAGTAATTGATGTAGCAGATGAATATGATGACAAAGATGATGATGACGATGACCTCCACCATAATCACCACCATCACCAGTCATCCCTTCTTCACAACAATGTCAAAATGAATGGTAACTGTAACAGCAACAACAATAGCGGAAATGGTAATGGGAATCACAGTGGTGGAAGTGGGCAGCAATCCCCTTCCCAGGATGAGATGAGCCCTGGCTTAGCTCTAAGAGGCATGATGAGACATAGTGAAGATGAATGCCGGGAAGGGACTGGTAGTGACAGCAGGGGTGGAAATGATCTTCAGGGCTCTGGTGAGCTACGTTGTATGGACAGCTTCACCTCTGAGGACCAGGACCATGAGAGAGACTTTGAGAATGAGTCTGAAACCTCTGATTCCAAGATGTTCTACCGTGATGAGCTGATAGATGTGGAGGAACAGCAAAAACACATCAGGGGCGGAAGGGGTCTGGACAAGGAACAGGACGATGAGGGTGGTGAGGAAGCCCATTTGAGAAAGGAAATGGAAGGCAAGGGTCATTCCTCACCCTCACCTCATCTGCCCCCTATCAAGATCAAGGAGGAACTCAACGATCCTACTTATGACATGTTCTGCATGGGCCAGTATGGCCTCTATAATGGAGGCATGGCCGCGGCTGCTGCCGCTGCTGCAAGCATGGCTGCTCTGCACGAGAGTTTCATCTCTTCGATGAGCTATGGAGCCAGCCCACCCAAATTCCCTTCTTCTCAATCACCAGAGGGAGACCCGTGCTCAAGTCCTGACCCCAAGATCTGCTATGTGTGTAAGAAGAGCTTCAAGAGCTCCTATAGCATGAAACTGCACTACAAGAATGTGCACCTCAAAGAGATGCATGTGTGCACTGTGGCTGGCTGCAACGCTGCCTTCCCTTCCCGGAGGAGCCGAGACAGGTTAGTGCTATTACTTTGTAATGTAACCATTTTATTTCAATGTAATTGCGACAGTTGCAGGTAGGTTCAATGGAAATGTTTACTTCAATCTACATAATCTATTATAATCTAAATTATAGCACTACATAAATCTAAAGAATATACTAGTTTTTTGTAAGGATATAGCAATTTTGTAAAAGCCATGTTAAAACATAATTCAACAGAAATATGCCTTTTCATTTCATATTAATAAAACAAGATTTAGCTGCAGTATTTCATTACTGTATGACATTTACCTGGATAGGCTATCACTTAACATCTGTTAGCTAATTCAACACTAAATTGATTCTGGGACATCTGCTCCTTGTCAAGTCAAAGTTCAGAAGAGTAGGGTGTTAGGATAAGAAACACATTCACACACATTAAAGCAAGCACTAGGTCGTATCCATCAACCCTGCAGCTGCAGTGTGTTGTTTACCTGCCCTCAGAACCTCACCTTGTCACAGGAAAGTGAAGGCGCATATATTAACATAGACAGCGGTTTGTCAAGCCACTGCATTTATTAGCACATTAGGAGGTGAGGCTAGCCATACTCACTTGGGCTTGTTAGCACATATCAGTCCCACACACTCACTCTGCAAAATACATATACTGAAGCAGCAGTGGCAGCAGGTTGATGCCATAACATGTGCTGGAGGTACAAAATATCACTAGTGCCCAGAGCTACCACTGGTTCGTTAAGGGATTACAAACATTGTTTTGCATCATGGAGGTACTTGTAAATTTAAAATTGGCCAGAATAATCCTTTGCATATAGCTAGTAATAATATCCATCATTATAATTACTGTTTTTAGAGGAATAAAATATATATCAAACATATATATCAAACAGTTGAGTGTGAATTCACATTTCAGGTTTGGTGACACAGAAAATAATATTCCCTTGCCAGTTGGTGGACAACCATGGTCACCTGTCCAAGTTATCTAGTCACTAAACACAGCGGGGACATGTAAATTTGTAAATTCCCTTCCACCCCTCTAAAATACAAAGCTATACACACACACCCACCCATTATATATATATATATATAT